CAGGCTGTTTTGACTACCATGGTGGTATAATAGGTTCTACAATCAGGTAGTGTGAGGCCTCCCACTTTGTTCTTCTTCTTGAGTAAGCTTTACTTATCCGGGGCCTCTTCCCTTTCCATATGAAGTTGGTAATTTGTTTCTCCATCTCATTAAAAAATGCCGGTGGAATTTGGATGGGGATTGCATTGTATCTGTAGATTGCTGTGGGTAGAATTGGCATTTTCACAATGTTGAGCCTTCCGATCCATGAGCAAGGTATGTTTTTCCAGTTATGCAGGTCTCTCTTGATTTCTTGCAGTAGTGTATTCTAGTTTTCATTGTATAGGTCTTTTATGTCTCTGGTTAGATTTATTCCTAAGTATTTTATCTTCTTGGGGGCTATTGTAAATGGTATTGATTCAGTGATTTCCTCTTCAGGGTTCTCTTTGTTGGTATTTGCTTTTTTTTTTTTGTTTTTTTACCTCGTTTTCTCCCTCCTTCTCTCCCTTCCTCTCATTAATTCAGCAAATATTTGTTGAGCACTGACTACGTGCCAGGAGCTGTGCTAGCAGCTGGCACACAGAGTTGCCCCATTGAACTGTCATCTTTCTTCTTTGTTTTCTTTTATTTTTTTAAATTCTTGGAGCTCCAAGCATTTTAAGTGGAGGCAGGAAGAAAGAATGTTAAATTTCAAATTTGCTTAGAACTGGCTTTCTTCCCCCTGTATGGTCACTAGAATGCAATTTTTGGGGGAAAATAAAGAAGGCAGTTTTGTATGACCTAATAGCGTTCTCAAAGAGAATTCTGCTATTTTGGTGAAAAGTTCTATTGTAAGTACCTAAGGAAGACAGGTCGACGGAGTTATTATTAATATAAAACTTCAGAATTCCTAAATATTTCATTTGCAGGCACAATTATTATTCTTATGTTTTTCCCAAGGACCACTTGAGGGAATTTACCTGCTGTGTATGTGAGAGAGGAAGCGACTAGAACTGATGTAGTTACACATGAATCTGTCTTTTTTTTGCCACACTTGTAGAAGTTAAATACAAAAATCTTCCATTATGTTTCTTAACGAGAACGGATTAGAATTCTTAATTTCAACCTCGCAACAATTTCTCATTTTAAATTTACTTTAATTTAGGTTACTATTCTAAATGAGTTGGTGTTAGTTTGCTAGTTGCAGTTATAGGCTTGGAATGTTTTATTTTTTAAGCAAAATCTAAAGCAAGTACAGTAAAAGTTGTTATAGAGCTGAGCAGTTCGTGATCTTATTCTCTGTAATTTTTTTTGCGTATTTAAATATTTTACAATAAAACAAATAAGGTTTGTTATTATTGTTCTTACTTGCTGTCAAGTCAGTTCCAACTCATGGTGACCCCATGCGTGCAGAGTAGAACTGCTCCATAGGGTTTTCAAGGCTGTGACCTTTTGGAAGCAGATCGCTAGGCCTGTCTTTCAAGGCGCTTCTAGGTGGTTTCAAACTGCCAACCTTTTCAGGTAGTAGTTAAGCACATAACTGTTTGTGCCACCCAGGAGCTCCTTAAATGATATCTAGGGTTTAAAAATTACAGGTTTAAATGTCTATATGTTTCTATTGCTTATTAGAAATGAAAAATAATTACTGAATCAGGAAGCCAGTATTTTAGCTATAATATTCTCTTCATTGTTATAAAAGGTAACTAGTAAAACTTAGTCTTTGTTTACAGAGAATAAAATGATTTATTTACTTAACAAAAAAGACAGTTAAATGAGATGATTTAAGCATAAAGAAACACGTTAGTCTTTGAATAATCTATTTTAATTGACAAAATAAATAATTGCAAAATCCATACTCCATATTAAATGCTTATTTAATCAAGTAAACTGTCACACAGGAGTACTCCAGGGCTATGGTGATTTATTTATTTTTGTTTTGGTAGAAGATGCAGAGAAAAAGGGTTCAGACACCTTTTAATAAAGTCTTTGCATTATCAAGTTTAAGGTATCTCTACCCTCACCTGGCTCTAATTTAGCAAATTATAACAAGGTTTCATGTATTTTGATATTTTAAGGGCAGACTGGGAAAGAAACCATGTAGGACAGGTATTTTTCCTATTTGTTTACATAGCTAGTAAGCAACATGATTTGGATTGGAGTCCAGATCAGTCTTAATCCAAAGGCCATGCTAAGTTCAATACTCCAACCTAAAGAAGTTATATGGCAGAGTAATCAACTCTGTTTACCTATATCAGAGATGCTTCCTTGAAGAGTCACCTGGGTATAGAAGAATGTGTAAGAGGAGGAGGGAGAGAGTGCATCACACATGTGCAGAGTCATACAGTTCCCTCAAGAAGGGATGGTTGGAGCATTGGGATATGTGGGTGAGCCTATGGGCCATGAGGTTAGAGACGGAATCCTGCAGGTGTACAGGCAATAGAGAGCTATTGAAGGGTTTTAAGCAGAGGAGAAAGCTGGTCTCATATGTGTTTTAGACAGATCATTCTGGCAGCAGTGTGAAGAAATGATTGCAGTGTTTAAAATGGAGACGGGGAGGCCAGTTAGGAATCTCCTCAAGAGAAATGAGGAAGACTTGAGACAAGGCAATAACAGCAGGTCTGAAGAGGGGCAGACTAACAGGAGAAATGTTCAGGGAAAGTAGGATGGGAGCATTGAAGATAAATCCTGAGTTTTTATCTTGAAAGAGTAGGTTGAAAGATACCATGCAATGTAGGAGATGGAGCAAGATACTGGTTATAGTTGTTGGTACTGTTGTTGTTTTTCACTGGTATGGAGGGTTTGGATTTTGAAAGATTGAAGGACCTGCAGGCATCCCAGATGAAGATACGTAGTAGACATTTTAGAGCTCAGTAGAGAGAGAAAGAGGGCCCAGTGACGCAGTGGTTAAGAGCCCAGCTGCTAACCAAAACGTCGGCAGTTCTAATCCACCAGCTGTTCCTTGGAAACCCTATGGGGCAGTTCTACTCTCTCCTCCTGTAAGGTCGCTATGAGTCCTAGCTGACTTGATGGCAACGGGTTTGTTTTTTTTTATTGAGAGAGAGAAGACACCAAGGTATAGAGTTGGGTGCTGTCAGCGTACAGGAGTAGATGGGCCCGGGAAATGAGAAAAGGCCCAGGTATAGAACCATAGGAACTATTTCAGGCTATGTCTCAAAACTTTAGTATCCATAGCAGTTGCCTTTGGTGTTTTCATTTTTTTTTATAGTTTTACTGAGAGATATTTTACATATTGTAAAATTTACCCATCTAAAGTGTACAATTCAAGTATATTCACAGCTGTGCAGACAGCGCCACAATCTAATTGTAGAACATTTTCATTATCCCAAAAGGAAACCCCATACTCATTAGCAGTCACTCCCCATATCTCTCTCCCCTCATACATTGTTGGTGGGAATATAAAATGGTGCAGCTGCTTTGGAAAACAATTTAGCAGTTTTTCAAAAAAGTTAAACATAGAATTACCATGTGACCCAGCACTTCCATTCCTAGGTATATACCTAAGAGAATTGAAAACATGTCCACACGAAAACTTATACACAGATATTTCTGGCAACATTATTCATAATAGCCAGAAGGTAGAAACAACCCAAACATCTATCAGCTAATGAATGGATAAACAAAATATGGTCTATTCACACAGTGGAATAGTATTCAGCTATAAACAGGGTGAAAAGTACTGTAAAAATGATGTTTCAGCAGTGTCTGACCTCCTCTAACTTCACAAGGAGGAAAGAAAATTAAGATCAGCAGCCCAAGGCTGATTCCTGTGAGGCAGAGGTCAGACATGCCTCCTCTCTCTGCCATCTTTACCAACTTTCACACCAGCTGTTCCCCCTGCCCCCAGCACTCTCTGCGTCTCTGCTGGGTTCGATAATTTGTTGCAGTGGTCACACAGAACTCACAGACCATACTGACAATTATGGAGTTCATTAGGGAAGTAACAGGTTACAACTCAGGTTCAGGAATGCTTAAGATAGGGTTCTTCCATCAGGACAGCCTCTTCTTAGCTGTGCCGTCAGGCACGCCTGTCTTTGGCCCCTTGGCCTCTGCCCTGCTCAGGCAAGTGTTACAAAGCTCTTTTAGCTCTTCGGATAAGTGCTGAGGGGCACCCCACTCCATCAGTAAGCTTCAGCCGAAGGCACTCAGCCCTAGCTCCATGGGTTGGCAAACCTAGCTCCACCAAGTGCCCAGAGGCACCCTACTCAGCCAGCAGTCTCCTTTGTGAAGGCACTCGGCTTTCTTGCTCCATAGGCTAGGAGTCCTACCACACTGTCTCCTGCCGGTGTCCTGGTTCTACTGCCTCTGCTACTGCCATTTCACTGCCGATGCTTCTTGCTATCTTGCCACTTCTGGTGTTACAGCAGTCTCTCTCTCTGTCTCTCTCTTTCTGAGTCTCCTGGTTCCAGGAGCTTCTTAGCACAGGAATCCTGGGTCCAAAGGACACGCTCTACTCTTGGCTTTTCTTCCCTGGTGGTAGTGAGATCCTCCTCCTGCTCTGGAACTGGCTCTCTTTTTAAGCCTAGTGGCATAGCAAAACTAACCAGTCGTCTTGGTGGGCCACAGTTACCTTATTTGCGCAGTCCCACCCAATCACTTTGGTGAGAGTTACAAGACCATGGAGAGAGACCACACAAAAGTGATCCCTCACATCGCAAGTACCAATACATGCTACAACATGGTGAATCTCAAAAACATTATACTAAGTGTAAGAAGACAGAAATAAGATGCCACATATTGTATAATTCCATTTGTATATGCAGTGTCTAAAATAGGCAAATCTATAGAGACAGAAAGTATATTAGTGGTTGTGTAGGTCTGAGGAGAAGAGAGGGAAAGGAGGGCAGAAAAGAGAGTGACTTCCTTTCAGGATGATGAAAATGTTCTAAAATGAGTGATAGTTGCACAACTCAGTAAATATATTAAAAAAGCATTAGATTGTACATTTTAAACAGGTGCTCTTTATGGTATGTAACTTGTATCTCAAAACTGTTTTTAAAAAATAGGCGAAAGATTTGAACAAACACTTCAGAGAATCGATGACAAAGAGGCTTGTGAAAAGATGCTCAACACGAGTGCAAGTAAAACCACAATGAGATAAACGATCCTCAACACGAGTGCAAGTAAAACCACCATGAGATGAACCTATCAGAGATACTCATCTAGTAGAATGGCTAAAATTAAAAAGACTTACCGTACCAAGTATTGATGAGGGTGTGGGATAACCGGAACTCTCATACATTGCTGGTAGGGATGTAAAATGCTTCAACCACTATGAAAACATTTGGACTGTTTCTTAAAAAGGTAAACATGTACCTACCATACCATACAACTCTTTCACCCCTAGGTATTTACCCAATAGAAAAGAAAGCATATGTTCATACAGAAACTTTTAAATGAATGTTTATAGCAGCTTTATCTGCAAAAGCCAAAATCTGGAAACAACCCAAACATCCATCATCAGGTGAATGGACAAACAAATTATGGCATGCTTAAAAAAAAAAAAAAGTTGCTGTTGAGTCGATTCCGACTCATGGTGACCCCATGCCCACGTGTGGCAGAGTACAACTTTGTTCCATAAGATTTTCAATGACTGATTTTTCAGAAGTAGATCACCAAGATTTTCTTCCCAGTCACCTCCGGATAGACTTGAGCCTCCAACCTCTTGGTTGGCAGCCGAGCACATTAGTGGTTTGTACCACCCAGGGACTCAGTTGATGCACTCGAAATCGACATGACAGCGTATAGCAACAACAGTCTTAACGGAAGCAGATCGCCAGCTCTTTCATACTTAGCAGAGTGGGTTCAAATCACCAACATTTCCGTTAGCACCGGAGCATTTAACCTTTTGCGCCACCAGGGCTCCGTCCTTATCACCCTACAGGAAGCTGAAGACTCAGTAAACTCTCCCTAGTTAACTTCTCCACATACAAAAATAGCTTTCAATAGCATTTTAGGGCTTCACTCTTGAATGTCAGTGGATAGCCATGGATGAGCAGACATTTGATGAAAACCTGTGAATGAAAGATACTGACCAAACCAAAGATAAAGAAGAACTTGGAGAAAACAGAGGCACTGCAGGGAGCAAAAGAAAATTAAAACAAATGAATAAAAACGCTGTAGAGCCTTGGAGAGAAGAGAAGATACTGCAATCATAGAACAATAATAATAAACAAAAAAAACCAAACCGGTTGCCATTGAGTCAATTCCAACTCATAGCGAACCTATAGGACAGAATAGAACATCCCCATAGGGTTTCCAAGGAGCAGTTGGTAGATTCGAACTGCCGACCTTTTGGTTAGCAGCTGAGCTCTTACCCATTGCACCACCAGGGCTCCAGAACAATAATAGGAGACTATAAAAAACAGATTATTCAGAGAACCACAAAGAGCTCTTAAAAATTAAATTATAATGGTAGAAATAAAACATTTATTAGAAGTATTGCAATATAAAGTTGAGATAATCTTCTGTTGTTGTTGTGTGCTGTCGATTCCAACTCATAGTGACCTTATAGGACAGAGTGGAACTGCCCCATGGGGTCTCCAAGGCTGTAATCTTTACAGGGACAGGTTGCTAGGTCTTTTCTCCTGCGGAGCTTCTGGGTAGGTTCAAACCACTAACCTTTCTGTTAGCCAAGTGCTTAACCATTACACCACAAGAGCTCCTATGATAATCTCCTAAGAAGTAAAATAAAAGAGATAAAAATGGAGAGACAAAGAAGAAAATTAGTGGATCAATCCCAGAGATTCAACACTGAATAACAGGAGAGCAAAGAAATTTGAGGGGAAGAAATTATCAAGTAAATGATTTAAAAAATGTCCCAGACCTGAAGAACCCGAGTTTCCTAATTGCAGATACCTATCCAGTACCCAGTTCAGTAAGTGAAAAAAGAACCATATTTAGTGGTTTGCATTTTGATAAAACTAAGGAGAAATAGAGGATCCTAAAAGTCTCCAGAGAGAAGAAATGGGTCCTATCCAGAAGTTTAGGACTTAAGCAATGTTTTTGAACTCCTATGTAGTAACTTTGGGAGCTAGAAGACAATGGAGCAAAATTTGGAGGGAAAAATGTTTACTAACTTGAAGTTCTATATTCAGTCATGTGTATGAGTAAAAAAAAAATCTATATGTCAATTATGTGTGCGAGTAAAATAAAGTCATGGAAGGTCTTCAGAGATTCACCTTCCATATACCTTTTATCAGGATAACATACTAGTTGCCATTGGGTTGATTCCAACTCATGGCAACCCCACGAGTGTCAGAGTAGAACTGTGCTCCATAGAGTTTTCAGTGGCTGATTTTTCAGCAGTAGATTGCCGAGCCTGACTTCCGAGGTGCCTCTGGGTGGACTTGAATCACCAGCCTTTTGGTTAACAGCTAAACACCTTAACTGTTTGTACTACTCAGGGATTCCTTAATCAGGAAGTCACGGAATATATGCTACACCTAGACCAGGGAGTAAGCCATAGAAGGAGAAGACGTAGGATCCAGAAAACAGAGGCTCCAACATATGAGAATGAGGAGGGAATTCCAGAGATGAAAGGGAATAGACATCCCTGGCAAGATGTAAGCTGTTTAGCAGCCTAGAGAGCAAATAAACCAGACTGGAACAAGAGAAAACCCCTGAGGAATGTCTCTAACAGGAATGAAAGTGATAGATTATCTGAAGTGTTTAAACTTATTAAGAGGAGATTTACAGTTCTGTTGGAGAGTTGGAGGATGAATTAATGAAAAATACATAAATACTGGTGTTACGTGCCATTGAGTCGATTCCGACTCATAGCAACCCTATGCACAACAGAACAAAACACTGGCTGGTACTGTGCCATCCTTGAAATCGAATACTAAGCCCCTGCTCTCCCTCCCCCGCCGCCAAAAAAAAAGAAAGAAGAGGAATAGCAATTATTAGTTCCAGGGAAAACCAAAAATTGTACAAGAAAGGAAATTTAATTACAGTATTGCATGATTTAGCTGTATGTATTATTTACTTAGTAATAACTGTTAGCACTCAATATTGATTTGAACAGAAATGGTGACTTAGTGGGAGAATGGGGGAAGGCAAGTAGGGGTGTGTGTGGGGGTTTGGGGACACAGCAATGAGCGGTGCTGTTTTTGTTTATAAGCCTTGTAGTAGTGTTTGACTTTTAAAATCATGTGTGTGTATTACTTCAATAAAAAAATTTTAAATGTTTTTATCAGATCAGCAATGAGAACACAGAAGTAGTAGGGTGTAGTTTGGTCTTTTAAGAACATGGATAGTAGAAGACAGTAGATAAGAATTATCTTAGGTGAAGGGAAGGACAGCACACACTACAGGGGAAGTCAGCACAACTGGACTAAACCAAAGCTAAGAAGTTTCCTGAATACAGTCAAACACTTTGAGGGACAGAGTAGCAAGGGTAGGTGTCTGGGGACCATGCTTTCAGGGGACATCTAGGTCAACTGGCATAACAAAGCTTATTAAGAAAATGTTCTGTATCCTACTTTGGTGAGTGGCGTCTGGGGTCTTAAAATCTTGCAAGGGGCCATCTAAGATGCATCAATTGGTCCCAACTACCTGGAGTAAAGGAGAATGAAGAACACCAAAGACACAAGGAAAGTATTAGCTCAAGAGACAGAAAGGGCCGCATAAACCATAGACTTCATCAGCCTGAGACCAGAAGAACTAGATGGTGCCTAGCTACCACCAATGACCACCCTGACAGGGAACACAACAGAGAGTCCCTGATGGAGCAGGAGAAAGGTGGGGTGTGGAACTCAAATTCTAGTAAGAAGGCCAGACTTAATGGTCTGACTGAGACTGGAGAAACCCCGGAAAGCACGGCCCCCGGATTCTCTATCAGCCCAGAAATGAAACAATTTCCAAGGCCAACTCTTCAGACAGGGATTGGACTGGACTGTGGGACATAAAGTGATACTCATGAGGAGTGTGCCTCTTAGCTCAAGTAGATACAAGAGACTAAACAGGCAGCTTCTGTCTGGAGGTGAGATGGGAAGGCAGAGAGGGTTAGGAGCTGGTTGAATGGACACGGGAAATCAAGTGGAAAGGAGGAGTGTGCTGTCACAGTATGGGGAGAGCAATTAGGGTCACAAAACAATGTATGTATAATTTTTTGTATGGGAGACTAACTTGAAATGTAAACTTCATTTAAACTACAACAATAAACAAAAAAAAGAACATGGAAAGTAGAGAGAAGGATAAAAACAGGAGGATATTTGGGGATGGTCACAGAGCCAAAAATCATTTTTTAGAATAAGAGAGACTGCAAAATATTTGTAGGGTGAGGGAATGGATTTACTGGAAAGGGAGAAAGAATAGGTGCAAGAGAAAGGATTGCTTAACATAGTATGGTCCCAGAGGAGGTGATGTCGTATAGGTCATGTGTTTAGAAGACAAGTGATGAGGTCAGCCTAGCAAAATAGTAAAAAAGGGGAAAAAATGGGTGAAGATGCAGGTTAATAAAACAGCCATGAGGAGGAAAAATGAGGGGCTTTATGTGACATAGGCTGTCAGTATAATCTTAGGCACTGTTATCTTTAGAAAGTAGAGACAAGGGAGGATGCCTAATGGGTGGATTTGGAGTCTTTGAGAGCAGAAAAGGTACAGAATAAATGAGTGAAGATGTGCTGTATATAGTACATCAAACATTCAATCATTCAACCCAGTGCTGACCACATAAATGGTATCAGAAAGTGTGTTGGGTGAATGAATGACCAACAAGGAGGGCTGCCTTAGAGTCTGGGATAAAGATACACAAAGAGAACATTGTTTCTCTCCCAGGCTCCCCACAGTGGGGGAAATAGGTGAACAAAGGGTCACAGCTGCATGCTAAGTGTTACAGGTTAAATGTGAATGAGACACCTTGGGAGGGTCAGAGGAGGAAGTGCTTGAAGATGTCAGAAAATGCTTCCTAGAAAAGTAACTTTTGAACGGGTCTTTGAAGGATGAATGGAAGTTCAGGGGAAAGACGGTGAAGAAGGGCCTCCCAGGCAGAGGTACTGAAATGTGAGCAAGAAGGGGAAGTTCATCACGTCATTTGTAAAGGAACCAGTTCTGTAACTTTCTGCGGCTATGTTCTGGAGTATGGGAGCAGAAGAGAAAAAGGTGTGGGGGACTGGCAAGGCAGGAATGTCCTCAGAACAAGTGGGGTGGTGAGTAAATATAGGACATTGAGGAGAAAATCGTTGAGACGCCCGTCCATGAAGCCCAGGCAGGTAAGGATCTGCATGGACCCTGAGGAAAGAGAACCTTCAAAGTAGAAGTTACAAGATAGGACTCCTAAGAATAATGACAAGTCCTGGAAA